ATGAACACTGAAGAAAACATAGTCTAAGAATAAAGAGATTATAACACAAGTTTAGCCAATGAAAAAATCTGAGAATGTAGTCATTATATTAATATTTGAAATTAATAAAATTTTCTATTCTGCAACTCATTAAATTCCAAAATTGAGGTACCATTGATTGTAGGTAGAAAATATGATATAAAACATCTTAGATTTGTAAGTGCCTGAGAATTTCCTGCATAGATACAACTAAGTGAAAGTTTCTAATTTAAATTTAAAAATAGTTTACATTCTAAGATTTCCAAATTCTTTTCACTTCTGAGAGATCATATTATGACTCCAAAATAATAAAGATGGGTAGTATACACAAGATGGAGAGAGATCATGTAACAGATGAATATTGACAGTTTCTGAAGCTTGGCTCCTTAAGTTTGTGATTACATGAAGCAGGAGGTTACACAAGGGTTTGGAATAACTCATAAAGAGGGAAATCCCTTTGGCCACGTTTAATCTATTCATTCAGTTCAGTATAATGTATTCCAAATTATTGCTTCAATCTAACAGCTCAGGCTTAAAATACCATATGGAATCAAAATGAACAATGATCCCCAAAGGCAGGGTGGTTCAATTATTCTAGTGTTCAGATCCCCATGTATCCTTAGGGCATGGACAGTAAAGTTTCCTTTATAAGAAATACAAAAAGGAAACTAACAGAGCCTTTTCATTCTAAATGTTACCGACCCATCTTGAACCTTGGGATATTTGATGCCTTCATTACCTAGCACAGAGTGTCTCATGAATAAGTTACTGCATGAAATATTCAAAACAATGACCATTACTGGAATAAGCCTATAGCCTTTGTAAAGAGACTCTAGCCAGTCATCTATACTTTAGAAAGGACAGATGATGAAAAGCCCACTGAATACTTAGCAGAACATACTATATAGCATCTCTCAACAAGTAGAGACCAAAGATCTACTAATGTAAATTTATAGAGATTTTAATTATACATATTTATAGATGTCTGTCTTCCTATATTACATATTTATTTAAAAGATAGTATCACTACGTAGCTCTGGCTTGAAATAAAATAAACATCTGCCTAACAAAGACTCCTGAGTAGTGGGATTCAGGTTATATGTCATCACCTCTAGCTCCCTATATATGTGAGTAAGTGTGTGTATAAATTCATTTCTTTATGATTATTATTGTTTGCCTGCATATGTGTACGTGCACCATGTGTGCAGTGGACATCAGCCTTGAAGAAGGTACTAGATCTCCTAGAACTGGAGTTACAGATGGTTTGTTAAGCTTCTATGTGGATTCAGGGAACCAAATCCCAATCCTCTGGAAGAGCAGCAAGTGCTCTTAATTGCTAAGACATCTCTCCAGTCCTCTACTCCTATATTTTGAATGGTCCATATGTGAGCAGAATTAATAGAGCAGCAGTTCTCAACCTGTGTGTCACAGCCTCTTTGGGGGTCAAATGATACTTTAGCAGGGGTCACTTAAGATGATCATAAAGCACAGATTCATATCAGAAGCAAAATTACAGTTACAAAGTCACAATGGAAAGTAATCATAACATCAGAAACTACATTAAAGGGTCACAGCATTAGGAAGGTGGGAACCAGTATAACCCGAATTTACATCTCATCCACAATATTTGGTAGATACAAAGTTATTGGTATAGCGACTCACTATTCACCAGAGGCTGGTATCTTTTATTTTTCAGTGAGCTATTGAAAAATTAGGCAGTGACAATAATGGGTGTCAATGTCTGTCTGGGTTTCAAAACTAGAACTTCAGTCACATATTTAAATGAATCAGCTGCAATCCAAACTTTGTCCTACTGACAGGTCCTGACTTGACACTGAAGATTAACCTTTAGAATTGTCATTATTTCCTGTGTGAGTTGCTTGTTCCAAGCTGAATTTTGCTTGTCTCTTGTGGGTTGGAAATTGGTCTCATTTCTTCTGTGGCATATTTCCAGAGATCATACGTTAAGTGACAATAAGATTTGATTCAGTTTCTGCTGTTTTGGAGATGGGGAGAAATATGTAAACTTGTGATTGGACTCTATTCATTTTCTTTTTAGAATATTGATGAGAACTTTTACTTTGAAAAGAAGAAACACGCTGAAAATAGTAAATCAGTCAGAGATGATATCTGCAATTATTGCTCATCCTCTAAAAAGATAATGAGGATTAAAATAAGATATCATATATCTTGCTCAATTATAGATTATTCTTAGCTTGACATGTCAGCTCCTTGTTGCAAAAAATGGAAAAAGATCCATAACTGTCCTTCATAGTGTTCTATAAAGAATAACCGGATTATCTACATGATGCTTCACTGCTAATAATTGTGGTTGCCTCTCATAAGATCATAGAAAAAGCCTTTGGATCAACACATATCATATGTAAAGTTGTTAAGAATGCCATTCCTATCATTTATTTTTACAACTAGGATTAGATTTCAGTGTAGATAATATTCTTACATTTTACAAGTACAGATGAAAGCATATTTAATCTCTGGCAGCATCCTGAAATTAGTTATAAGAATGTCATACTGTTTTGATATCAATCTTTTAGCCTTAATAAAGATTATACCAGGTTATCTTATCATCCCAAATAATAATAATGATCGGGAGCTTCTAGTACAGGCAAATATGAGGTCACTATTAAGCATTAGACCCTATCTCAGATTTCTGATTCTGGTCCCATGTGTTGAAAAGTCTACAAGAATCAATCCCTCTGGAACAGAAATGTTACACTAAACATATCTTTGTCAACCTTTTTTACTTATAAAAACTAGAGCAGTACCACCTGATACCAATTGCTTCATTTCCTTGCAAAAAAAGAAAGAGAGAAAGGAAGAAGGAAAGAAAGATGTACAGAACCACATATCTATTCTTCTTGGATTTAAATATTGTCCTGAGTGAATTATATAAGCAATAAAAGAGCTGGAAGACTGAACTAGGATCAGGTTCTGTATATATTTGACACTCTTTTTTATTGTTTCTGAAGAGATAGCTCCTGTTGGGGAAGTCTTATGTCAATAAAGCACTGTTGAGCCAATAGGAATCTAGATAGCTGGGACTAGGAGTCCAGGAGGAATCTGGGAAGGAGAAACACAAGAGAGTTCCAGATGTAACACCATGGGGTAGGAGGCCCGGAAATTTCTCCGGTAAGAGAAATACTTAGATTAACAATTATGGGGTAATTACTTAAGTCAGAGCTAGCCAGTAAGAAACAAGCAAGGCCAACAGCTTCATAATTAATATAGCCTCATGTGTGTTTATTTGGGACTGATGCGGCTCTAGAACCAGGCTGGCAGGAAGGCTACTCTCAAAGAAAAAGCTTCCCTTTACAAGCTCCACTATGCAGCACAGGCTGGCTGTTGAACTCACAATCTTCCTGAAAATCTCCCAGCTGTTGGATTTGACCGTGTGTGCCAGCAGGCCCAGCTCTCCTCACGATGTCACTGCAGAGTAGGATGACAAGCCTTAAAACACAACAAGTCTTAAAAATACCTCATATTTGCATTCATTATTCTTATAAGCACACCACAAAAATACAGTGTATTTAGACATAAAAAGTAGAGGGAGACTAGGAATTTGGCCATGACTGAGCCTCTCAGACCTCCACTCCCAGCAGTCTGTATTTTGAAGAATTTCCCTGTCTATGAGGAAACAAAATGATTCCCCAATCTATTTACCAATGGTGCAGCATCTGTTTCATGAATCTGAGTTATCTCCTAAGTAATGAGTATATTAAGAATGGTAAAGGGGCTGCTCAGTTCCGAATTTATAATCCTAGCATCTTGGAGAAAATAGAAAGTAAAATATAAAACTAAGAAAAAATATACAAACAGACAGTGACTGGAAGACAAATCCAAGTTAAATTTTCATCCCATTGCTTTGACCTCAGCCTAACTACCATACATGGTCAGAAATAGATGTAGATCTGAGAGTTTCTCTGTTTTATCCCTGTATTCAACAAAGCACCAACCATGAAAATGCAAATTGTATTCAACTATTCACTTAAGATTCTTTCTAATTAGTCCAACAGTCTCACAGTCATCAGTATCCACATATAGAATACCTGAAGTCTTTCTTCACTAAACACAAAACTATAACAAGCCAAATAAAACAGCATCTGTTTTCTCTCATCCTTACGGTCTTTGCTTTCTTCCTAAAGATTTCATATTTGATTTTGTTAGACTTATTTCACAATCATATTTTATGTCCTGTTTCATTTTTATGAACTCTGGTCCCTTCTGGGAGGTCTTCAAGCAACACTGAAAACAGCTTCCAATATGCCTCTGCCAACTCACACTCATTCAACCACTCTACACCACTCTTCTCTTCCCTTATGGAGGGCTCCAACCACAGCATATGATGAATTAAAGCCATAGAGTAATTAGTCATTCCAATTTTTCCAAGAATATACATTTATTAGCAATGAAAGTCCTGCATCCCATGAAACTCGCCAGCTGTAAGAAAAGCTGGACAGTTAGTTAACTCTGAAAGACTCTAATTTTCTATGCAATTCCAACACTTATCCCCTGTAGATATAGTTCCTTGTAGCAGAAATACTGTCTCACTGACAGTTTATAAACCAATAAACTCCTTTTAAACAGCCATTTCTGGGCAAAGCCTCTTTGTTAGCATTCAACAAGAATTCCTCACACCCTACTGCAAGCCACACTGAAGTGTACTTTTTCATAGATGTCACCTAATATAGGTGTGATCCAGACAAGGGGATTTCCTGAGAGCCAGTTCTGTGTTCCTCCATTACTGTCACTACTGTTCTCGGCCTATGTTTGTCTGTTTCATGAATAAATAGACTGATGACTTAGCAAGTATTTTTGTCAACCAACTGAACTTTTCTTTAAAATCAAATACCAAATAGCACAAAGTAAGACAAAGAGTCAGGATATGTACACTGGAGCTTAGGTATCTTATAAGGAAATAATGAACAATAAACTAAAGTTGATTATCCAGAATTTTTACTTACCTCGATCTGGGTGGTGTTGTCCTGAGCATCATCCAGTAACAGGTCAGTGAAACCTCTGGACTCTGGTAAGTCTTGGCCCATGCTGGCTCTATTTGTGTCTACTGCCTTAAAAGGGTCTAAATTCCTTTTCCACCTGTGGCTGTAGGCTTGTGAGTTCACATCCACCCCAACTTCTCCTCGAGGAAAGGTCTTTGAAACATCATACTTCCAGTCTGTAAGAGAAACATGTATGTTACCACTAGGTGTGACTCATATAAATAATACTTATTACAGTAAAAAATGTACCACTCTTGGTCATTAAAATAGGAAATGAACTTATTATAATAAAACCAAATTATTTGTCATATTAGACTTGATGCAGAAATCTGAGTGTTATGGTTTAAAAATAAAATGTGGCCCTCCCCAGATCCACATATATGATGCTTGTTTCACAGACATTTGGCACTAGAGCAGAGAGTCTTGCTAGAGGAGGTGTCAGAGTGTGTGTTTGAAGTTTATATTTCATCAACAGTTTCCTTCCTCCTCTTTCTGCTTCCTGTCTACTGAGAGATAAAGAGCTTCTTACCAGACATGCTCACCTCACCGTGATACTATATGCAAGTACATGGGGAAACTTGTATGGAGAACCTCTGAGGCAGGACTCAAACAAGCTAACTTTCCTGTCCGTCCTCTCCCACCTCTACCCCCAGCTATTTGATTCCAAGTGGCATAAGCATAACTGGTATGCTGAGTATAGTACAACTGCAGGGTACACCATAAAATGAACCAATGATTTATGTGGTGATGGCTAAGGGGCCCTCAAGCATGTATACACACAGACACACACACACACACACACACACACACAGAGAGAGAGAGAGAGAGAGAGAGAGAGAGAGAGAGAGAGAGAGAGAGAGAGAGAGAGAGAGAGAGAGGTTCTGTGAAAGCAAGTTAGTATCCTAAAAGACAGGCATCTTCAGCTTATTTTAAAATAAATAACACGATGCTGATTTTACATGTCTTATACAAGGCTGCAAAGGGACAATGTTGCTTGAATGGGTTAAACCATAGTGGAATTTTCCTCCTGTAAACGTGCTAACCTAGCTTGTAGTTTACAAGCCAGACTTGGTTCATTGCCTGACTCATTTGATAAGCAGCTCTCTCAAGAGGCATCACAAACATGCTTGTCCATTTGTACTGTCCTCACCTTGGGAACTTGTCAGGGTGGTAAAGGATGACATTGACAGGCACTTACAGAAATGGATGGGACAGCAAAGAGATCAAATCACAAAGGTATTTTAAAACCATCTGCAAGGACTGGCCCTGCTGACCTGGAACATCCTGCCACTACATGAGGGAAAATTAGATTTAATCACGACTTCTAGTCTTTCATTTTAGTAGGTCAGTAGGGGACAGAATACCACAAGGATTGAAAATTCAGTTTCCAAGCAAGAGGAACAGCCTTCTATCTAAACATTACCAAAAGATAGGAATCTGTAGCCTTTGTAACTGGTCTGGTATGGGTTCACAAAGGGCTAAGAGAACACTGATTTAATCGCGGATGGGATGTTCCCCTCAATACAAGAATGTTTTGTGAAACCTAAAGGTATTTGATGCTGAGTATTATTGAGCATAATGCTGTATCAGCAACTCATGACATCAAAACCAATAGGACACCACTACCACTATTTTTCTTTTTTTTTATTTTTCAGTTTAAATTTAGATTAGAAACAAGGTATTACCATTATTTTTCAACAACCACAATGGTTGGGCATGCCTTGCTTTCAACTCAGAAAATTCTCCATAATCCTCCCAAACAAGGCATGGCAGTGTAGTTTCACTAAGACTTAAAAGACATTTTAAAGTCTGATGTGTTGATGAATGGAGTCTTAAGAGAAGCCTTACTTGGCAATAATAGCATATTCATTGATTTCTATGAAGAACAATGCATACCAAATTCACCAAATTCCTGCCAGAAGAAATCTGGGATCCAGAAAGTGGAAGGGCTGTAGTCCTATCAATGAAATGCTCACCAAAAGGGACACATGTGCTTTGTGAATGGTTTCACAGCCTCCTCCAGTCTCTCTCCATTCATTGAATGTTCAAGAAGAACATCTAGTTAGTACTATTGACTTCATTGTAGAAAATATTTATTGCAACACTCTGCCTCTGCCTGATATTTGACTTTAAGATTCAATACTGACTGACCGAGTAAAGGAACATATTACAAACATATGGCACAAAAATTAAAGGTCCAGGGCTGAATGCTTTCTGATCTGTTTGCTGGTTATGGTTCCATGGTAATTTATAAAATTCTATAGGCTTTCGTTACCCTGTATTATAAGTCATATCAGACATAGCTTAACTGGAAAGGCAAACTTCTTAACAATGTGTCTGGACCTAAGAACTATGGTACTAGGCAAAGCTACAGGAAGCAATTTGTTTACCTCAATTGTATATCCAGCCTCATTATTGAAAATATATGAGGCAGCTTACAACAAAGCTAAACAATAAAATCCCCTAACAACCACATAAGACCTTCTGTTGCAAATCTTAGGTTTACCTCAGAGATGCCCATCTGACTCACAGGTAGGGTTGTAGGTCTCAGTGAGTTATGACAGGGGAAGCTGTGCAAAATCTGTCCCAGCCCTTCCTCTTCCCTCTCTCCCTCCTTTCTCCTGCCCTTCATCACTTCCCTTCTCATTCCTCTACTTCCTTTGAAATCCTTTTTGCTTTTTATGTGGTAAAGTTTTGCCAAGATGTACAGTCTAGTCTGGGGCTCTGCTATCCTCCTGACTCGCCTTCCCAAGTATCTGATAATACAATTGTTAAATAGGTTGGGTTCACTTCTCTGACATTAAGGTTACTGGTTCTCTTCGGGTATATCAAAGCATAAACCAACTCTTCCCAAGACCCTCAGCAGACCCACTAGCTTCATTCTGGGATGCAGAATCCAAGCACGAATAAGAAAACAGAACACCTCTCAGTGCAAGAGCCCCTTTCATGGATTCTATTGCTCAGCCCTTCTTAGGTGACCTTTATTGTTCCTTTCAGCCTTTTTACTCTAAAGAATTCAAATCAAAAGGAGCTTCAGAACCGTGGAAAGATATTGTACATATTTCTGATTTTAGTTGAAATCTGATTAATGTGTTAAGCATTTGTTTAGCACTCAAATTTACTGCTTTGCAGGATTTTGGGGAGAGTAGAAAGAGCAGACAGGTTTTTGGTAAAACAAGGATATATGACCACATGCCTTTGGAAATCAGGGCTCCTGATAGTCTTGGCTTCATTTTTTTCTAATTGTTTAGTGGTATCTTCTGACTAAAAAATAACTTGCTCTTAATACTTTAAAATAGTTCATTTTTACGGTCACATATTCATTATGCATATTAGTTGGGTTAAATGTGACATGTCATCCATTGCTACAACATGCAGAGGCCCCATCATACAGACATTGTGACCAATCTACAGACACATATCATTGTGCTGGTAAATACTTGCTCTTACTAGAATCCATTTCTGCAAACTGAGAAAGTCAATTCTTTGCTCACTCTAATTGGATTAAAAAAATAAACAGATTCTGAGGAAAGCTCCAGAAGTTTCTTAATGAGAAAATTTGTGAGTTTAGGGTCTGGACTTGCAAATACCTGTTGAGTTGTGATTTTATAGTGAATTCTATTTTTTCTGATAATGTTATAAATAAGCAAGGATACTCACTCATGCATATAGACTGCATCAATGTTGGCCCATAATTTAGCTGGCAGATGGCTTAAGATGGAAGTATGAAATGGGCTTAGATGTTAATCCTATTTCAGAAAGCATTTTAGAGAATATAGAATAAATCAAAATGGATGCATTACAGAAATGAAGGAAGGAAAACTGAAAAAATTAGAGTTGGGTTAACTATATTGTAATTACTTATCTGCATTTCACAGGCCTTCAAAATGAAAACAAACATCTTAAATCATTCTTTAAATTGACAACCAAACAAGTCATTCATTCAGAGACAAGACAGAGGGGAATATGGGGCACAATATTTTCCTCCCCAGCTTCTGGGAAAACACAAACAATATGACCAACCTCTCAACACTCTACTCAGCAGATTGTCTGTGGTCTGTCTACTGCATGCCACTTAAAACACCCATGGAAAACCTTAAAAGAGAATTTTCTTCAACATTCCTTACTTCTGTAATTACTCAGCTCATGGAAAAATTAATTCTATTCAATAACTTCCATTTGGATATAAAGGAAGAAAGTTTCACAAATAAATATGTCTGTTACTTTCAATATGCAAATTGATAGTACATCTTTAGATAGTTTATTCAGCTGAAATAGTAGATATAGTGTTATTAGCAAAGGCATTTCATTGTATTTCCAATAAAACATCGCCATGAAGCATCACTATGACTAGTTAACCTGAAAGGACAAAACAATTCTCAGAGTATCATCAAGGTGTTCTATATAATCTCTAAAATCCCTTCTATGCCCATGGGATGGCTCATATTTATTGTCAATTAGATAGCACTTGGAATCACTTTAGAAACAAATCTTTAGGTATGTGTGTGAGGGATTATCTAGACTTAATTAGTAAGGCTGGAAGACATCATTAATGTGATTGGGACCTCTACATGCTTGGGTCTCAGACTGATTACAAGGGGAAAAGCAAGCTGAACACCAGGGTTCAGTACCCTCTGCTTTGTCCAGGACGCAATGTGACCACCTGTCTCCTGCTCTTGATACCACAAGTTCCCCATCATGATTGACAGCATCCCTGGAAACACAAAGGAAGATAATCCCTTTCTTTTTTAAGTTGCTTCTATTGTGTACATTTTTCCCAACAAGACAAGTATTTAACAAAACTACCTTATGTCAGGAAGCAAATAAAGTAAAGGGCAAGAAAGTAGTACTGGGCTGCATATATCTATTTTAAGTCACATCCTAATGCATTTATTTTAACACTTTACAAGTAACAGACAATTGTGTATTGAAAAATTAACCCCCTTGATTGACTACTATACAAATGATATTCATAATATATATACCTCAAACCACCAGAAAGTAATTGTATGCATAGATATGAGTTGTACAGAGTTAGAATTCATCATGCATATGTCTATTAAAAAGGTTCTCATTCTGTACTTTATGTGTGTTAAGGTATATACATGCTTGTGTGTGTGTATACATACATGCATGTGAGAAGTTGCGTGTATTTGTAGGTGGGTGTGGGAGTAGA